CTTAGTAAACAGCTTGACAAGTCAAAAACAGAAAGGTACATGTGCAGTATGGCAAGTGATTTCAGACAGTTATATCTTTCACCATGAGTACTTTCTGGGCATAAAAACAATTTGTTTTCTTTCAATTGAAGTCCCCATGATGATAAAAATATCAATCAAACAATTTGAAAAATTATAAATAGGGACCCCACGTCAACAATTTTTTCAAAATGTTGAACTTATTTGCTCAAAAGAGGATCTTCTTTTTCTATTTTATATTGCATGATAAGATTATTTAACAAGGGGTCTAAAACATCTTCAAAAGTAGAATGGTATTGAAAGTCTAGTTTTGAAGATATCAATTTTCGATGACCAAAATCATGCTGAAAATAATATGAGTTTTCCCTATGGAAAAAAAAACTAGGGAAATATGGTTTTTATGTCACCACCAAAAAGTGGTGACATATTGTTATGGTCTCCGTTTTTTTTATGTCACCACCAAAAAGTGGTGACATATTGTTATGGTCTCCGTTTTTTTTGCGACGGCGGTTGGTGGTTGGCGTCCGGCGTCTGGCGTCCGGCGTCTGGCGTCTGGCGTCCGGCGTCCGGCGTCTGTAACAATTTCTTACAACTTCCTATAACTTAACAAATACTGTTTAGACTGACTTCAATTTTTTTCTAAATCATCTACATCTTCTCAGAAGTTCAAATCTGACTTTAGATTTGACATTTGACCTTCAATGACCTTCTCAAGGTCAAAAAGGTCTTGTTTCAACTTGCTTCACATTGACTAAATTTTTTTTCAAAATCATCTACATGTTCTCAGAAATTCAAATCTGACTTTAGATTTGACATTTGACCTTCAAATCTGACTTTAAATTTGACATTTGACCTTCAATGACCTTCTCAAGGTCAAAAAGGTCTTTTTTCAACTTGCTTCACATTGACTAAATTTTTTTTCAAAATCATATACATGTTCTCAGAAATTCAAATCTGACTTTAGATTTGACATTTGACCTTCAAATCTGACTTTAGATTTGACATTTGACCTTCAATGACCTTCTCAAGGTCAAAAAAGGTCAAAAAGGTCTGTTTTCAACTTGCTTCAAATTGACTAAATTTTTTTTTCAAAATCATCTACTTGTTCTCAGAAATTCAAATCTGACTTAAGATTTGACATTTGACCTTCAATGACCTTCTCAAGGTCAAAAAGGTCTTTTTTCAACTTGCTTCACATTGACTAATTTTTTTTTCAAAATCATCTACATGTTCTCAGAAATTCAAATCTGACTTTAGATTTGACATTTGACCTTCAAATCTGACTTTAGATTTGACATTTGACCTTCAATGACCTTCTCAAGGTCAAAAAGGTCTTTTTTCAACTTGCTTCACATTGACTAAATTTTTTTTCAAAATCATCTACATGTTCTCAGAAATTCAAATCTGACTTTAGATTTGACATTTGACCTTCAAATCTGACTGTAAATTTGACATTTGACCTTCAATGACCTTCTCAAGGTCAAAAAGGTCTTTTTTCAACTTGCTTCACATTGACTAAATTTTTTTTCAAAATCATATACATGTTCTCAGAAATTCAAATCTGACTTTAGATTTGACATTTGACCTTCAAATCTGACTTTAGATTTGACATTTGACCTTCAATGACCTTCTCAAGGTCAAAAAAGGTCAAAAAGGTCTGTTTTCAACTTGCTTCAAATTGACTAAAAATTTTTTTCAAAATCATCTACTTGTTCTCAGAAATTCAAATCTGACTTAAGATTTGACATTTGACCTTCAATGACCTTCTCAAGGTGAAAAAGGTCTTTTTTCAACTTGCTTCACATTGACTAATTTTTTTTTCAAAATCATCTACATGTTCTCAGAAATTCAAATCTGACTTTAGATTTGACATTTGACCTTCAAATCTGACTTTAGATTTGACATTTGACCTTCAATGACCTTCTCAAGGTCAAAAAAGGTCAAAAAGGTCTGTTTTCAACTTGCTTCAAATTGACTTAATTTTTTTTTCAAAATCATCTACGTGTTCTCAGAAATTCAAATCTGACTTAAGATTTGACATTTGACCTTCAATGACCTTCTCAAGGTCAAAAAAGGTAAAAAAGGTCTGTTTTCAACTATTTTCGAATTGACTAAAAAAAATTTTCAAAATCATCTACGTGTTCTCAGAAATTCAAATCTGACTTTAGATTTGACTTAAGATTTGACATTTGACCTTCAATGACCTTCTCAAAGTCAAAAAAGGTCAAAAAGGTCTTTTTTCAACTTGCTTCAAATTGACTAAATTTTTTTTTCAAAATCATCTACATGTTCTCAGAAATTCAAATCTGACTTTAGATTTAACATTTGACCTTCAATGACCTTCTCAATGTCAAAAAAGGTCAAAAAGGTATTTTTTCATCTTGTTTCAAATTGACTAATTTTTTTTTTCAAAATCATCTACGTGTTCTCAGAAATTCAAATCTGACTTTAGATTTGACTTAAGATTTGACATTTGACCTTCAATGACCTTCTCAAAGTCAAAAAAGGTCAAAAAGGTCTTTTTTCAACTTGCTTCAAATTGACTAAATTTTTTTTTCAAAATCATCTACATGTTCTCAGAAATTCAAATCTGACTTTAGATTTGACATTTGACCTTCAATGACCTTCTCAGTGTCAAAAAAGGTCAAAAAGGTATTTTTTCATCTTGCTTCAAATTGACTAAATTTTTTTTTCAAAATCATCTACATGTTCTCAGAAATTTAAATATGACTTTAGATTTGACTTTAGATTTGACATTTGACCTTCTCAAGGTCAAAAAAGGTCAAAAAGGTCTGTTTTCAACTTGCTTCAAATTGACCAATTTTTTTTTTCAAAATCATCTACATCTTTTCAGAAGCTCAAATTTGACTTTACAAGTTCTCAGAAGTTCAAATCTGACTTTAGATTTGACCTTTGACCTTCAATGACCTTCTCAAGGTCAAAAAGGTCTTTTTTCAACTTGCTTCAAATTGACTAATTTTTTTTTCAAAATCATCTACATGTTCTCAGAAGTTCTTCTTAAGGTCAAAAGGTATTTTTCAACTTGCTTTAAATTGACCAAATTGTTTTAGGTGGTGACATTTTGTCATGTTAATGCCTTGTTAACTTTGTTGCATTTCAATACCCATTCCCTTTTCAGAAGTTATTAATATAGTGGAGAAGAAACTTTTGATATACTGTAAAACGGGTAATTTTGTCACCGGAAAATTTTAGCGATTTTTCAATCTTAAGGGGTTTTAGCGCGGGAAATATTAGCGAAATGAAGATTAATCTTTAAAAAATCAAATTAGCGAAATGCATTAGAAATTTTATCATTTATGGCAGAAGAATGAATAACGGACATGACAGAGGAATTATCAAAATGTAAGACTTCTAACGCACATGGTATTGGTCCAAACTACTGTAATCTCATCTGACTAATCACAAAATCACGGTAGCATTTAAAATATTGAAAGAAACATACGATTTAAAAATATTTACCTTTATCAAATTACAAACCGGAAGTCGAGCACTGAACGAAAAGGTTTATTTTAGCGAATTGAATTTTTAGTGAAACTATAGCGATCGCCAACAATCGCTAACAATTACCCCTCGCTAACAATACCCGTTTTACAGTATTCAAATTGAGGAAAACAAGATCCTCTTTTTAGAAAATACACCTTACATTTTTAAAAAAGTGACAAGGTTGGGTCTTAAAGGCAGAATCTGATCTATAGGGGGTGACAAAATTACAAGCAACATGTATATTTGACCTACCAATCTATTCCTTACAATATCAAATACAATATCTCCCAAAAGATTCACAATATGTTATAAATTGGTGAAGTTATTAATGATTCAAACAGTGCAAAAATGAGTGAAAAATGTTTAAATTCTCCCAAATAATAAGAATGGTAACCATTCTTATAGAAAAATAATACATTATTGTAAAAATCTTTAGTTTACCTGGAAGAAAGTATGCACTTCTAAAATTGAATTAATTTTTTGTTTAGCCTGCTCGCTATATCTGATTCTCTCTTTAATCCATAATTTTTCAGAGAGTTGGATTGATATTTTACTATCATGGGGACTTCACTTTAAAGAAAACATATTGTTTTAATGAAAACCACTGTATTTATACCCAGAAAGTACTTATGGTGAATGATATGACTGTCTTAAATCACTTGCCATACTGCACACGGACCCTTATGCTCTCACAATTTTGAATTATATATAAGATCCTGTATCAGCCAAAATCCTGTATCAGAACTATCAGAAAATTTCATGAGACTTAATATTGTGTTATTATGGTATATTATGAACCATATTAGTATTAAAAATTATTTCTATTTTACAATTTGTTAAAATTTGAAAATGTGATTCGATAAATTAGATTGTATCATTTATGACACCATCATTGGGTGACGACATACAGAACAAGTTTCAGAAAAATATTATGGAATAGATAGGTTATTGATGGAATATGAATTTTTCCTCAAGAAAATATGATATTGGCCTCGAAAAATATCATATTAACACTCGGGCTGTCACCCTCGGTCAATATGATATTTTCCCTCGAAATAAAATTCATATTTCATCCCTCCCATTAAATAACCTCTATATATCCCGCTGTATCTCCCACTCAGCAATTCCTGGGAATTTTTTTCAGTGCATGTTCTCATAATCTACTAAGTATAGGATTAATCAGTTATTTAATGCTCGGTTTGCATACAGGGTTTAAGCCTCGGGAAATACAATGTATATAGCCTCTGTCCCTGTGGTCGCTAGGGTTCATATATTATATTTCCCTCAGGATATATCCTGTATCCAAAACTTCCCATTAAATAACCCTCATAGTCATATAGATATTGATGATGCGAATTACAGGTCATTAGGCCTAAGTTTAAATATTTTTGGTTGATTTTAGAATCAGAATTCCAGAAACGTCAATTTAAATTTAACAGTTGACCTTTAATATACTGTTCATACCCTTCTGTACGTACCTTATTGAGCATAGGTTGAGATTGCGTCATCCTGTCTAGTGATTCTTGGTCAACTGCCAGTAGATTGTTGAAGCTAGGGTTGTTCTCTGGTAAGCTCTGTGTATCAGGGCATCCTCCCTTTCCTTCGTTGGTTTTACACTCACTGGGTGTGTTAATGTCCTTTATAGCAAGGGCATATGTGGCAGCTGGGGGGCGATTGGCCTGAGGTTTGAAATCAATGTGTTTGTTGATTTGTTGATTGAGGTTGTTCCTGCTGTCTGAGACGACATCAACAAGACTGAGTTCAACGCTACGTGCGAATGCATCTCTTAAGTTTGATGAGTGGTTAAAACTCAGTATGCTTCCATTGCGTTTGGCTTGTGCTAATGCCTCACGACGTTTCAGTGCTTTTTCACGCCGCATCTGATCTTTGTAGAACTCAGCAAAATTGTTAACTATAATTGGAATAGGCAGGGCAATAACTAATACCCCACATATACAACACACTGCACCAACTACCTTACCCAGAGCTGTCTTAGGGTAGACATCACCATAACCTACTGTCGTCATTGTAATAGCTGCCCACCAAAACGTCTGAGGAATACTGATGTATTTGGGATTTTCGTCTTTTTCAGCAAAATATGCTAAACTTGAAAACATGAGTATGCCTATAGCTAAGAACATCATGAGCAAACCAAGCTCTTTGTATGATCTTTGTAATGTATAGCCCAATGACTGCAATCCTGTGGAGTGGCGGGCAAGTTTCAGAATCCTTAATATCCTCATAATACGAAAGATTTGGACAACTCTTCTGACATTATGGAATTGTTCCGTACTTCTGTTTGACTCAACCAACCCCAAGGAGATAAAATATGGTAGGATTGCTAGTAAATCTATTATATTTAAAGGTGCTTTGAAGAACTTCCATTTATTTGGTGCTGCCCAAAATCGGGCTAAATACTCCAATGTGAACCAAGCTATACAGACTGCTTCTACTAATGCCAGCTTCTCATTATCAGTTGGCTGGTCATCTTTGTCACGTCCCTGTATTGATGGCATAGTATTTAATGTTAGGGCAATTGTGGATAGGACTATGAATAGTACTGACACTACCGCTACTACCTGCAAGCATACATAAGCATATGGTCAAATCAAATCAAAATAAGTTGTTCATAATAAAAGTATAAGTTCAGTTTTCTACAAAAATGAATGAAGAAAATATATGTCATACCTGCCAACCTACCGTATTTTTACGGGAATCTACCGTAAATTTTTCATTTTTCCGTAAAAAAATGACAAACTTCCGTAAAAAAATACCATGTTTTTCCCGTAAAAACGCCCGTAAAAAAATCTACCGTATTTTTTTCGAAATCTACCGTAAATTTATTTTTTAAAAACTCGTTTCTTCCATGAGAACGGCCGTAAAATCTACCGTAAATTTTTGAAAATCTACCGTAAATTTTCGAAAATCTACCGTACATTTTCGAAAATCTACCGTAAATTTTCGAAAATCGACCGTATTTCTGCTAAAATCAACAGTATTCTTGTTCAAACTACCGGAAAATTTCCCGTTATTGTTGGGAAATGCTGAAAAATTGAAGTCATTGATATCATGAGAGACTTGCGAGTAAACAAATCAATTTTCAATACCATATGATTTCAATGTTATATGAACATTATGTCTGTCATTTCAATTCGTTAAAGTGATAGATCATCTAAGATGGTGAGTAAAAACGTGTAAAATCCATATTTTGTATTTCAGTAAATGTTTCATTAGTATTTCCAAACATCGTGATATCTTATGAACTGGTTAGAAGGTGAATAAAAGTGGAGATATGAATATTGTGTTCTATTTTGAATCAATCTAGATTTATTGTAAAAGAGTTGTAGAAAAGTTCTGATCAACATACCACTTACATGGACATACAAATTTGCGAACCAACCAGCATGAGGATTATGGAATTTTTTCCGCATCTTTATTCTATTTTCACACTTTTGGATTTGATTACAACCATTCGATATTCCACTCTATTAAAATGGTTTGAAACACGTAATAAATTCGTTTGTTTTTACACATTTATATTTGATTTATGTAACTATATATGTGATAAATGCACTTGTGTATGCGGTTCATGTTATTCAGTGTTTGGTAAAATGTCACATATTTAAGTAACGAACAAAGGCGGTTGACACATAATATATTTAGAACACACATCAAATACAAATATACTTTAGAACCAAACAATGTTCATTTACCGAACAATCATAGAGTACCAAATAGCACGGACATATAGTGACTTACCCCACATAATTAATGACATATTGCACATAAAATGATGTGGGGTAGGTCAAATTCTTCCACAAAACTAGTTATTTTAAAATGTACCGCAAAAACTCCCGCATTTTTTCCAAATTTACCGAAAAGTACCGCATTTTTGGCAAATCTTCCGCAAAAGTACCGGTTTTTCAAAAAATTACCAAAATCTACCGTAAAACTACCGCATTTTTGGCAAATCTTCCGCAAAAGTACCGGTTTTTTCAAAAAATTACCGTAAAAACTACAGCAATTTTCAGAATCTTCCGCAAAACTACCGCTTTTTCAAAAAACTACCGTGAAAACTACCGCATTTTTTCAAAATCTACCGTAAAACTCCCGCATTTTTTCAGAATCTTTCGCAAAACTACCGCTTTTTCAAAAAACTACCGTAAAAACTACTGCATTTTTTAAAATCTACCGTAAAACTACCGCATTTTTCTAAATCTTCCGCAAAACTACCGCTTTTTTCGAATTTCTACCGTAAAATTACATTATTTTCAAAAATCTACCCCAAACCTCTGAAACTACAGTATTTTTTTAAAATCTACCGCAAAAACTACCGTTTATTTTATAAATCTACCGTAAAAACTACCTTTTTTTAAAAAATCTACCGCAAAAACTACCGTTTTTTCTAAAATCTACCGCAAAAACTACCGCAATTTTGTTGAAAAATACCGCAAAAACTACCGTATTTTGAAAAAATCTATCGCAAAAATACAGCAATTTTAAAAAAATCTACCGCAAAATTTTGGTCTTAGGTTGGCAGGTATGTATGTTTTCCCTGAAACAAAAAGAAACATTCTAAATTAATAAAATCGGAAGCAAAACATGATATTAACCTAACGCTGAGTTGACCTCTACATATAATTGCTATTTAGTGACTACAACTGAAAATCAAATATAATGTATAAGAAGTAAGATCAACTGAATATGTGCAATATAATATAGGTATATGATGCATATATACCTTCTATTGACTCTCTGATGTCATATCAATGACATATTTGTTTGTAACTTAACTATGTACAGTAATATACAAAACTAAACAAGAACTACCGTAGGCTAAACTATACAAAATACAAAAATACTAGTCAATTGTAAATATGTAGCATGATAAAATGTAAAGATATGTGACGTATCATCTACACAATGTCAATCCAATTTTTCGAATTACATCTGTGTTTTTTTATGAGACATCATTTTTTTAATACTACTGATTGCCTAATTGTTAAACAAAAAGTGATCAATGATTTTGTATAGTTGTCCAAAAAGTCTTGAAATTTTTGCTTTAACTTTCTAGATTATTCCTTAATTCAGCTAAAATTTTGTGTATACTGCAATTGAAGTGTTATCCTACATTAATGTTAAGTCTTAAAATGGTTGCTATAGCAACGCAGGGCCATGGGATGGGCAGGGCAAACTCAAACTCAGCCATGGTCAAGAAATTGCAAAATGGATGCAATTCTCCAACCTGATAGGACATGTAGGAAGTCATTAGATTCATACTTTACTTGGACTTACAGCCACACAAACTCATGCTACCATGATGAAATTACTATACACCATGTATTACTTGGTGGTTGAAGGGATTTAAATTGATAATTGGACCTTTAATGACAATTCCAAACCAGGGAGGCTAAAAACTCCAAACCTGGGAGGCCAAAGACCCCATGAGTCACGGCTGAAAAAATTGCCTAGACTGGGTAAGAAGCCATCAACTGTGCATTACTTGGCAAGGCCAATATTTTGAAATTGTGAATGGGACAATGTGTTTAGTATACATCAACTAAATCTAAAATCTGCTCATAGTAATTTACTTTAGTAACTTACTATAAATATATTTATAAGTAATGCATGAATAGGATGTGGCCCTAAATTCAAAATTTTGGATGATTTTATACTCATACTCTTGCAATGCTCATAAAAATAAAACCATGCAGTGTAATTCCTTCAAACTTTAAAAAGTGAACAAAAAATGTTCAAAGCTCGTCCATGTGAAATATGAGGCCAAAAGAATAAAAATTGATAATATGAGAGCAACAATTTCAAAACTTTTTGGACAACCCTCGTACACTTTAGAATATTTTTCAATCTAATTATTCCAGTGACAAATGCAATTGATCTGATTTGAGAACCCATACTGTTATGACATGACCCATTCATTAACCTGTATATAATGTACTGATTATAAAAATCAATGTTCTCTCATTGTATTGAATAATTCTACATGTGAATATAGTGAAACATGACAATAAATAGAGGTCCTTGACACTGCTAGTTCAGAATACAGTTTTCTATATAAGGAGGTAGTCTCACAAACAGGTGGGAAGAACAGATGCAGAGAAAAAATTTCTTCAAACTTAAAGATTTTGAAGATCAAGTTAACAGTTTTGATTTTGTCAATTACAATGGAAATGGAAAAATATTTGGTTCTTTTGAAAAGCATTCCTTGTTCATAGGTTTTCCCTACAGAGAGGTATTCCATCGGACAGGTTTTGGATAAATGTGGATCCTGTATCTTTCTAAAGAAGAAGAAGAAGTATGTTTACTGATTCATGAACGATTGTAGATGTGAATTGGTTGTTGGACCTGTAGTGGACATTTCTATAAGAAATTTTCTCCTCCCATTGACTCCCATGTTAAAAAACCTTGAAATGTGAACACCTCCCAATTTGAACAATGAACAGTCATATTTGAAAAAATAATCCTGTCTAATCTAAAAACCTTTCATAAAATATTACATGTTTCATACAAAATTGTTCAAATATTTAAAAGTTAAACACTGATTTGTCATGATATCAAAACTTTTAGAGAAATCTTGAATGGTCTCAATCTCAATAGGGCTTTCTAAAAAGACTAAGTTCATTTGAATTGAATTTTCAAATTACTGGTATGCGATGTGGTAAAAAAAACTATAGATATTTATTGAGAATTAGTTCACATTTCTTCAAAATCCAGAATGTTGCGAATGCAAAAACCTTGAAATGTAAACACCTCCTAATCTGAATGCTTTTAGCCGGTCCCAATCGTGTTCGGATTAGACAGGTTTTACTGTTACTGTATATTTTTGTGGTGAAACTTGCTTTTTTAATAATCATAAGGAACAACATTTTATTTTTATCTGAAAATTGGAATCTTTTGCTGATAAATAAATTTTCAAACACACAATATGGTACCTATGTTTTCCAATTAAACATCTCCACATGTTTCATGAATTTTAGGAAATCATTGACTTGAGTATTGTTTCGTTGATTTGCTGACTGTAACATTTGTCCATATATCATTTTTGGACTTTTTGATAATATTGGAAATGTTGAAGTTGTTTCTCATGGAAAAGTAAAATACTAATTGGAATTATAATATTTTTTCATGCTTTATATTCAAAAAGTTAAAATCAATTTTTATTACCTTGTTATATGATAATACAATGCAATGTAAGCTACCAGTAGAATATCAAGTCTGGATTTGTGACTACACATGCACATTATCCAATCAGAACACAATATAACCATGCATAGTTTATTTAGTCTAATGAGACAATACAATGCATGGATGGCTCTTGAACAGTTGGCAAAGCTTGCAAAAATTATACCAGTTGATCAATGAAATTATTCAAAATATTTTATCAGATATCATTTATTGATTACTTCTTGACATGCTTATAAATCCTTTATGTAAATTGCAAGTGTTTTGATCAATTTCTGATAAAAACAGAATCATATTTCAAAACACTGTATAAAGCCCAAATCTTCTATAATCAATACGGATGTTAAAATGATGTTAAGCCGCCATTGAAACTGATTTT